AGATCAGTGGTTATGAGATGGTGACAGGGGCCAAGATCAATCGCGATAAGTCTGTTGGCTTGCGGTTGGGTGCGTGGAAAGGAGTTTCTCTTCCCGGACATTTCCTCTGGACGGATGGGCCGATCAAGATACTCGGCGTCTGGCTCGGTCCTAATCTCCAGTTGGAAATGAATTGGTCGGAGGTACAAGGGAAGGCCGAGATCGCGGTTAATCTGTGGGCTCGGAGGAGGCTTTCCCTGAAGGGAAGGGCGGAAGTATGTGTTTCACACATCTACCAGATTCTCCTGTACCGACTCTATGTACTTCCACTCCCGTATACCACACTAATTTTATTAGTAAGGCTCTTGTTCTCTTTCTTGTGGAGAGACAAGGCCGCTATGGTATCTCGTGAGATCTGTTGCCTTCATCCCTCTGAGGGCGGTCTGGGTATGCCAGAGATTGAGATTCGTCAACATATGCTTCGCATCAACTTTCTAGATCGAATGTGTCGCGGATCGGATGAGGATGGCGCCTTCTGGAAGGAATAAATCCGTAAACATTTCCCATCCCTGAGAAGTGTGCACTCGTGCCGGGAGGAGGCCGGCCGTACACCCCGAGCCGAATGCTCCTTCTACCGCGAATGTCGTCGTGCTCTGAAACTCCTCTTACGGGCGACGGATGGCCTATCCAACGACCAGGCGTTGTCTCGTAGGGCATTGTATCAAGTGTTAGCCAGTGGGGCCGTTCAGGATGATCTAATTGACGAGCTCGGTCTTATGAAGCAGGAGTCTCGCTCGATATGGCCTTGGGCACCTGGGTTGAAATGTCTCAATAATGTCTCTGGGTCGCAGCAGGCTTGGAGAAATATCCAAATTGCCGTCGTTGTACTGGGGAAGTCGAGACTATTGGTTACGCCTTCTTTCATTGCAAGATGGTAGTGCCGTTGTGCAAGTTTGTTGAAGGCCTCATGATTCGCATGCTGCGCGGAAAGTTTTTTGTCCTTGAGGCCATTTCTGTTTGTAGCAATGTGGTGCCGTAGATGCCGAAGGCTGAACATTATGTGTTCTGTTGCTTACTAGGTGTTATGAGAGTCGTGATTTGAACGACGCGTCAGAAGGAATTCTATGAGGGCGAGAAGTTCACTTCTTCCCAACTGATCTTGTTCTTTAAGCATCAGCTTAAAGTCAAGATCAGGACGGAAAGGCGGTGGCTCACCTCATCAGAATTTGGCAAAAGGTGGGTGAATCTTGCGCGTTTGTGTCGTGTAAAAGGGGCTTACCTGGAGTGGCATTTTGATGCCGGTTAGGCATCAGGATATTGTTTTCCTGGTTTAAACTTCGGTAACCCATCCCTGGATTAGGCTAGAAGTAGGTTTTTGATTCTTTAGTTTTTCTTTTCTTTTCCAGTAAACTTAGCTAGGGTGTGTTTATTTCTGCCCCCCCCCCTTTTCTCCCCATCCCCTCCCTCGTTAGGTGGTCAGTGATTTCAGTTCTCTAGTGGATGCGGGGCGCCTTTCGCTTCGCGTGCGTGTTTTTTCGTATTTGTTGATGTGTCACAATGAGTGCATGTCTGTGTGAGTGCTTGGGATGGATGAAAGCTATATTTTTAAAGTCCCGCATCGATTTCGTCATAATTCAGTGTGGGATTCGTTTTCACAACGTTCTTGCAACACATACTATAGGTTGCGATGGATAAATTGTTCATTTTAACAGATATATTTAACTATATCTTGAAATACCAAAGAGTAAATTTATTCAATAAAATCGCCATTGGCTTCAACCACGGCCTCCAGACGAATTCGGAATCTCCTGCAACTCTTCTGGACGGAATCCTTGTTTAAGTTGGTGAATATACTTTGCCATCAGTTTATCTATGGAGTTACAAGGAGTTTTGCTGGTTCAACTGCGCCCCACACATAATAATAAATGGGGTTGCAAGTCTGGGGAGTTCGGCAGCCAGATATAAGGGGTGATGTGGTGGCAGAAATTGTCTGGCAGCCATGAATCCTGCGTGTGTGGCATGGTGCAGAGTCCTGTTGCCAGACATCTGGTCTTCCACAAGCCACCCTCTTAACTCAGGGCAGCACTACCTCCTCAAGGCACTTGATGTAGGCCTCCGTGTTGAATCTGATGCTCTGTGGGAATATCAATGGAGTTATTTTCTTATCAGAAAGATCAGTGTGAGTTTTCCGACCTGCCGTACCTTCGTAATCACCATTAGACTCATCCAACTCTTTCCGGATCCTCTGCACTGTCTTCAGAATGACACTCAAACACCCTGAAATATTCGCGTCGGAGCTTCCGGCGCGAATGTCAAGCAGTACAGCATACCGTTTCCAAATCTCTGACGGAGTGAATTGCGTTATGGTGCTCTTTTTCTCACATATACTGCCCAACTGACCCTACTATATTGTACAGTCGTCAAAATAAAAAACAAACGTACTCCTTGTACTACGTTGAGTCATTCTTTGTGATATTTCGATGATCTTCAGCCTTCATCCTCTACTCAAAAAACTCACTCTTTTCATGGAATTTAAAGCAACCACAAAGTCGCAAACGATGGCACTCATTTCTTTTGCTCGTTTTTTGACCTAGAATCTAAAGAGCAAAGAATTACTCCCTTGTATCATAAATAAATCCCAGTTACAACTTATTACATTTGAAAAAAATATAACAAATAAAATAATTATAATATAATTATATAATATAATTATTATATTATTTTCAATGGAAGTAAAAACAACGAATACAATACGTTATTTTTTTACTTGTATTTTGTACAAGTTGATTTTCATGGAATTGGTACCATCACAAAGAAGAAACAATTTTTATATAAATTATATTTGCATGTGATTTAACTGGAATCTAGTGTTTGAAAAAACTGGACTTATTTACAGTTTTAATGGTTGGCATGAAAATATGTGCCATAATATTCTAAATGCCCATTCTCAATTTTAATTTCTTCGTAAATTAAAAATAAAATAACTGAATTTTAATAAATTCTTTTTTGTACATATTAAATGTTACATACGATTTTAAAAATTTTAAAGGAATGACCAACTAATTAACTATGCATCCAAACCATTTTTAAAATAAAATAAAGCTTTTGTTTTGATGAATAAAAATTATAAAATATATTATGGATGCTATTTTTTTCGATGAGTAATGAATTTGTACATGAATGAATTGTTTTCATTTTTTAAACATTAGAATAATTTATAAAATTGTAAATCTTTTACATATGCATGAATGCAGGCATCCGGATGTGGAACAACTACTATCCTTCTCCTCCTCTTCCTTCTCTACACGTGTGTGTGTGTGTGTGTGTGTGTGTGTGTGTGTGTGTGTGTGTGTGTGTGTGTGTGTGAATAGAACAATTCGTGGTGTCCTGTCTTCTCGTCTCTCACTCTTATTAACTGCTACTTTGTCAGTGACTAGTGAATTCAGGACCGTGGTGGGAAAAAATAGCGACACATAAGGCGTGTATGTATTATTAACTGAACTGCCGTTTCGAATCTCGGTCGACGTCTGCTTCATAGCTTTCACTAATGGGAAATTGTACAAGTTGCTTCTCTACTACTACTAATTGTATCGTTAGTTTCCAAGTCATCTTTAAATATGACCTATTCTTTATAATAATATTTTGGAGATAAAAAATATTAATAATCTCTAGTGCTAAATTAGTTTTCCTTTTTTGCAAGTTAGATTCGCAGAGAATGCTGTACACATTTTTTACAGCCACATGTACATTGATGGAGAGACGCTTAGCAGGAATCACTTGTTCTTGGAACAAGTTGAGTTTTTGAAATATCTCTACTTTTGCTTTTCTTTATGTGACGATCCGTTGCTAATGTAACTGCAAGCATACCGGCTGTCTAGACTGACGTAAGTATTTCCTATTAGGAATAAATTTGCCCACACCTTGTTGAGGGCATCTGGATTTTCTTCGATCTGGGAAGCAGATAATGATCTGCTTTGATGATCTTATCGATCATTAACCACAAACTTATCTTACTCCCCACAAAGAAAGTTGCATTGGTTGATTTTAAACATCACAAGTAAAAATGATACCAAAATATCTCCGATTTAATTCCGCTTCAGAAATATTTTGACTATCAACTAAAAAAACCGTACAACTTTGCTTGTGGCCTGGAATTCTAAATAAAAACTCCCCCCCCTGTCACGAAAGAAAGTACTTTCTCTCGAATTGGAATTACTTCAATCTCAGCATAATTTCATAAGATCAACTTTCTTAAGTACACAACCGCCAATCAGTTTTACGTAATCTCCAGAAAGGATTCTCCTAGTTAAAAAAATATTTCGATTTAGTGAATCATACACGATTATTATTGTTTTGCTCTTACGATAAACATAAAAAACCAGCAACTATCCCCAAAATAACACCTTACCATATTTTGATAATACCATCTGTGATGCACCTCTCGAACAAGTAGAGGATTTTCCATATTGAGGCCGTCTTTTATCAAACAAGTGCACCTCAGAAAAAGGATGTGGAACATAGAAATGAAGCTGCACATTTGGAAAACGCGTCTTCAACAACACAGTTCTGAACTTAACAAAAATTATGATCTATAATGTCATTTCAATTATTCTATATTCTATATTCTGGATTCTATATCGTCGCGACATCCAAAAATGAGAAAGCTTTCACCAGCAAAAGCTTCATTCAATCTTGAACATCAAATGGAAATACTATGTAACCAAAACTAAAGAGCCAACAGTTAAAGCATCGAATCGCAGATGATTAAACATCGTCTTCGACGGTCAGGACATGTAGCAAGAATGGAAGAGTCAAGGTCTGATTTAGTGAAATCACTTCAGGGCATAGACCACGGGGTTACCATCTTCGAAGATACAAGGACTAACTCAAAACAACACTAAGAGTCAGTGGACTTGAGCTTAAATCGTTTGAAACACACGCACAAGACCGTACCAAGTGGCGATGTTCCATCACCAAAGGGACCAAAAATTTCGAAGACACCAAAAGAGAAAAGGAATAAGTCAAAACGACGAGAGATAGATAGATAGATAGATAGAGAGAGAGAGAGAGAGAGAGAGAGAGAGTGAGAGAGAGAGAGAGAGAGTCGAAAAAATCGACCGCGTCTTCCACCAATATTACTATGCAGTTAATATCATCGATTCTTCCATGTACGAATTGGTTTAATTAGTCATCAACACCATCATCATAAAAGAGAAGAAATTAAATTCTGGGATACAAAGAAGAAATTAAATTCTGGGATACAACAATGGCACGATTAATTCTGGGTTCAACTTTCAGCGATACCAATTATTTTATTTCTTAAACTGCAGCCTTTTACTTTTTTTGACTGCTGTTCTGAGTTTGTTGTGTTGATAAATGAAAGCTCATGACTTTAGGGAAAAATAATAAACGTTTTTTTTTTGTTTTTACAATTCAGTTGATCATTCATTGAATTGAATCCAGTTCCTCTGGCAGTTATATTATTCATATTGCAGGGTTAGTTTTATTGCAAGACAAAACACTTGCACAACTGACGAATTTAAGTTCCAAATAAAAAAAATCATTTCATTTTCAAAAAAAAAAATAAAAATAAAAAAATGATTGTCTATTGTAAAACAAAGGTGTACTTTTTCTTTACAACAGAAAAAATAACTTAATAAATTTTAAATTACCGTTATGCGTTTTTTAAAATGTGGAAGGTTTCTTGACCAGAAACATTTTAAACTTCAGAAATTAAAGAATTTTAAATTGTAATCCCAGTAGTCGATCCTGGTCAGCGGTAAGCAATAGTGTCACCCGACGTGTCGATCCTCGTCAACGGCCACCAGTAATATAGCGCCCTATGTCCCGCGTTAGTTTTAAAGTTCTGTCAGACCACGGTGGTTACTATCTAGCTGATTCCTTACTCATTAACGCGTGGCTCGTTTGTCGCTGGTATCGTGATGGTGGGCACAGTTCCACTCGACAGCTGAAATTTGTCTGTTCACTACCATTCACTCCTCTACCAAGTTATGCTTTTTTGATCTCAGAGGGTGAGAAGATCGCTGATAAATCAAACTGAAATGAAAACGGTTCGATAGCTGGGAGCTACACCAAAAAGTCTTTTTTGGAATAAAGAATTATCCGAGTTAAAAATGTAACAACGATTTGGTTTATATAGGATTTTTTGTATACAACAGTTTTAATCCTTCCCACTTGTTGTTATAATCAAATGACACTGGGATTCCCCTTAGAATCTGTAGCTTGTTTTAGTAATAACATAAGTGTCTAAGTTCTGGTTTTCAGGGCCGGCACAAGATCTTGGTCAGAAGGTCTTGACGAACAATGTGGATTCCAGTAGCATTAATGTGGGGACTCTACAAGTTGTGGCCCTGTCTAATTCTTTGATACTTCAATTTAAATCATCACGTGACAAGTGATTCTTGCATAAGGTTACTTACAGTTAATGCGTCTATAATCCTGTTGAGAAGTGCCAACATAACGAAACTTTGAAAGAATATTGATAACACTAATCACTACTAATAACTCTACTAATCACTGAACTCTACGTACTTTTATACACTATCTGTACATGCATTTAGAAGATAAAAGCTTATCTCGACTCTTTAGGGATATTTTTTCTATTTTACATCTTCCAATCATAGTCCCATTGGATATTGTTTTTCGAAAGTAAATTTTAACGCATACTATTTTTAATGTAACAACTAGATAAGTAAGTCTAGACGCTTGTTGGTTAGGATTTCACTTGTACCAGGAGGTGCTGAAAAGCTTTCACCCTGGCCCATTTCCCAAAATCTGATCAAATGACTAAAAATCGTAGTTTTGGGTGGGTAGGACTAGAACTTTTCAGCGCATTCTCGAACCAGAATGGTATAGGCCCGAGTGAAGAGTTTCGATCTCATCCTGTTTGTGTTGTTGCATTGGTAGACAGATTCAAAAGGGAAAGTCTGATTGAAAACAGTTACCGTTAAAGATTGCTTCTAAAAAATAATAATCTCTCTCTCTCTCTCTCTCTCTCTCTCTCTCTCTCTCTCTTTCTCTCTCTCAAAAACATTGAACGGTCGAGATTCGTCAATACTTTTGACGACAACTAAACATTATTTTACCATTTTGTATTTTTTTTCAATAATAATTTTATCGTTAAGTAAAATATCGTTATATTAGCTGTCTCTCTAAGACGTTTGCTCTTTTTTTTTTTTTTAGATATTGTTACAATATATCCATCGAAGAACAATCATATGAGTAAGCCAGCTATAATATATATGAAATTGGATCCCAAAATGTGTGATAACTGGAAAGTAGAAATAAAAATAAAATACGTGTAGTGAACCAGAGACGTATCTCTTCGATGATTTTTCGAAATCGAATTCAAGCACTCGCAGCTTCGTCTGTGCTTGAATAGTCCTCGAATTACTCCGCTAGCAACTCTTTACAATGGTAGCTAAGGTATCGAGTTTCCCTTGGAAAGCTTCACACCTCTCCCGGTTCTAGCCAAGGAGTTGGTTATCCAATGATGACAAGAAGTTATTTGTCGCATCGTTTTCATACGCAAATCAGCAGTTATGTCCGATACTTCTGAAAGTGTTATTTTATGCCTCTCTCTAATTATTTAACTACTATCCATTATCCGCTGCTCCGTGAGATCGGAACTAAATTTGTTTCTAAATCCCTTCTAGGACATGTGGCCAGTCACTATTATTAACTTTTTACATCCACTATTCATAGTGACTATTTCATGTAATAATTATGTGGGAGTCCACATTATGACATTAAGAAAATGAATTTTTTCTGATCCTCGATCTATATGTTTATATAAGATTGCGTTCCTAGTAAGCCATAAATTAGTTACTCGTACATATCTACTACGATTGTACTAACAATCATTCTAAATAGTTTGTGACAGGCCAAAAGCGCAGACGAAATGCCTAATATATTTCTTGTACGAAGGTGATTGACAAACCTCAACTAATTGAGTATGTTAGAAAATTCCGGTTCATTCCTGAAATATCGAGATAAGAATGGCCTTCCAATTACCCACAAAATTCTACCAGCATTTTACTAAACGTATCAAAATCATTAATTAATACAGTTTGTAAGAAATCTCCAAATGAATTATCATCGGTCAAAACCTGGTTTCATATCGCATCAGGGGAATTTCACGTTCTCACTGAATAGTTTTTTGGGACAGTTGTGAAGATTGTATTTTATTTTTTAGTATCCTTCTCCATAAACTGAAAGTTATCTATGAGGTTGTAATGAGTCCCGATAAAAATAAAATAAAATATGAAAATAAAATATATAAACAAAAATAAAAGGAATTCAGATTAAAATAAGGCACTTGCTTGCTCTGTCTGTCTGTCTCTATCTTCCTCTGTCTCTGTACCTGTCTGTCTCTCTGTCTCTCTCTCGCTCTCAACGAGAAGGCAGCCCTCAAATAAAAAGAAGAAAAGACTGAACACGGCCGAAAAACACCGGAAGTTTGCGGGGCCGGTGCCTACTTATATGACTATAAATCTACCAAAATAAGACAAATTCTACGCATAACTTCCGTTATATAAAAGAAAGGAACGACGGAAAATAAAAATAATGTTGGCCAATGAAAAATATTAACACAAAGATTTTTTTGTTAAATCGAAACCGAGATTCGCCTCGGAGTCTCTGAGCATGGTGCAAAGGATATGAGCTCTGATTTCGACTAGAAGAAGGACAGCAAGAGAAACCATTGAATAAGAGATGCAACCGCTAGAGAAACCAGCCATACGTGAAGTAAAGATGCCATCTGCTAATAATATTTCTGACCTTCTTAGGGCCGAGAAAAACATAGTAGATTGACACTGACCTATCTCTAAGATGACTACTACCACCAACATGGTCTGAATTCGAAACTATTGAGGTGAAACGGATTTTCTCCAGACGGCTACCAAGATCCGCCTTATAAACGAACATTTTACTACACCAAATATCAAAGGATTCACTCTAAATCAAATAAATATATTATTTATTTTATACCCTTGAATCTAGTCATCTTATTTCCAAAGTTCCAATGAAATAAATTACCAAGAACCCACCAGCACAACTAAACACAAGGTCTTCCTACACATAAAGTGAAATCGCCATCAGGTTTCTTTTATATACCCACCTTTCATGATCTATTTGGGAAGACACTTGCTTTTGTAAAACGTTCTATCTTTTAATCCAGGGACTATTAAAAAGACTTTTACAAAAAAAATGCTTAAAAAATATAAAAGGTAAAAAACGAAATTTAAAACATTTTTTATTTTACAACCAACAACCAAATTCCTTTGTTTTGATCTTTAAATGTAGATAGTCATATTTTCTTGAAGATATTTATTATATCTATCTTTGCATTGCTACAATGATTATTAGTATTTTCATACATATTGTGTTAAATTTCAGCATTTTAAACCAATAGCTAGACAGAATTAACTTTGGATTAAATTTGTTTACTAATCTGAAAAGAATAATGGAAAATATTTCTTGCTATAAAATTGCCCATAAAAAATATCAAAGTTATCAACTAATTATTCATTCTTGTATGCTCACTTTTACTGGTTTTTTAGAGTCCTGCATGCAGTGATAATCTATCACCCAGAACTAGAATATTATATATATATATATATATATATATATATTTGGAATAGAAATCCTTCTGAATAATTAATTGAAACCTTGTATTAAAAACATAAAAACAAGGTTGAGAATTGTAGTTTGAAAAATTCATAGAAGATAGTGACCTTTACCAAAATATTACATAGAATTTATCAAAATCCCAGATTGTCCTTTTAACCCATGAAAATTATCAGAAAAAATGTAAAGCACTAATAAAAAAAAACTAAAAAATACTAAAGACATTTATAAAAATCAAAAAAAAATTAAATGACTTATGTTTTCACTTCACCAAATATTTTACATTTATTGTTTCTCTGCCATTGGGATTCAAGGTGCTGTCTGAAATATAAAAAGAAAATTCTGAAAAATCTTAACATTCAAATTTTTATCATTATTCAGAATATTTTTTTTAGATCCAATTAATTTAATCATTTAATGTATAATTTCCACAAAAACTTTTTTTTAAATATTGAGAACACAAGAAGCAAGAGTAAATATAACTAAAAACTTGTTCACTAAACTTAAATGTCAATCCATTTTTATAGCAATTGAACTTAGCCTGAGTGAATTGAGGTCAAAATGAACACAATGAGATGATGAAATCTGCAGCATGTCAGCTGTTAGTTTTTATCTGAGTATGTCTGTCAGAAAAAAAATGTCAGGAAACAGACATCTGGACTAACTCAGGTTTGCTACTATTTTACATATAGAGACAGTGGCCATTTTATTATTTTATATGGATTGATGATTTTTCATTTCTTACATTTACCAACTTTTGTTTCATTAGTCATCTATGGAAATATTTATATATATATTTTAGAGTAACATTAATTGAATTTAATATCAGAAAAAAGTATTCTTGTAGCATCATATATTTTATTTATAAAAAAAATACCTATTAGGTTTATCAGATAATCTTATGCAGCAGATTCAGAAGGAAAAATGAAAGAATTATTTGACATTTATGAAAACAAGAAGAAAAAAAACTAAATATTAATTGTAAGAATAAGGAATGCACAGCTATGAGCAAAAAGCACTTTTTTACTTACAGCCATGCATTCCTTATTCTAATGCAGAAGTTCAGTTATTTGAATAGATGACAAAAGTGTGACATAGAAATGGAAAATGCCTAAGAATATCCAAAGATACTTTTCAGAAACTGAAAGTAGTGAAAAATAAATTTAAAAATGAAGAAACAAGTATTAGATTGTTGTGTTCTTCTCCTTCAGTGAATACAATTTTGTTACAAATGAAGACATGAAGTGACCAGAATGTAGTTTCACTTACACATTTTAACATTAACAGAGCCTGTAAGAAAGAAACTTTAAGAAGTGTTGAAACTGTGGCTAACAATCAGAAAGCGACAATTGAAATTTGCCATCATTGGGTGTTTGTTGATTTCATTAACTTCAAACTGAACCTTTTATTTAATCTATAAGGATATATTGTTCGTGTGCCACTGATTATTCTGGAGATATCTCAGCTTGTATTTATTTAGTAGTTATTTTAGCTCAGGGATTGAACTCACAATTACTATATCACCAAATTCATGAAGCAATGCTTTAATTCATGAGTCTATTGTATAACCAAGCAGTACTAAAAAAGGAACAAGACAAGATATTTCTAGACATGGTCAATAGAACAATCAAACCCAGTTGATTAAATAAAGGGCTCAGTTCAAAATTCCCCAATGAACAGTGGAATGCACAACAGTTGAAATGCAAATAAGATAGATTCTTGATTTTGATATGCTTTCATGGTTTATCTTATATTAATTGCAAGCATTTAAATTTTTTTTTAAAATTAACTGAAGAATTAACTTCAAACTTAGAATTAACATCTGATATGTCAAATTTAAAAGTTACATGAAAAAATAACTGAAAGAACAACAGTAAGTGATTTTGTTATATAAATATAAATATACATTTTTCATTTTTAACATATTTTTCATTTTTATAGATAATTTTTTATGTCTATTCAAAAGTTATTTGTCATCTAAAATCCCCAAATACCTATTATATATTGAAATAATAGTAATTTTAAGTGTATGTGAATTCTTTGTTATTGTTTAATTCTGCTACAATTTCATCTTTTTCCCATTAAATGGAATTCTAAAATTTTGTTGCCCAAAACTAGTCTGACAAACCATGAAAAGGAATGACCATTAGAGGTATGTATGTAACTTAATACAATGAATCCAACCAAAGCATTCAGTATGGATCCATCTCTTCTCCTCTCCAGCAGAACAGATTGGCTATTATAGCTTTGATTAGCAATCATTCTAGAGATAGTGACTCAATAAAATCCCTATCCCTTGACAGCTTGGTCAGCCATCCTGTTGGCTTTAGTGGTGTCATTTCCAAAGTCATTTTTTCAAAATATTTTATGCATATGTTTCCTATCACTGTTGCAGACTTAAATTCAATAGAAACAGGATGAGCAATAACTGACTATAGTGCTAAATAAGATATCCCTAAACATGGAAAGCAGAAGAAGAACAATCTACCTCCATAGATTAAATAAAGAGTTCAGTTCAAAATTCCCAAAAGATTATCTAGATTAACAAGCACCTGAAGAAGGCTGAAAGGCACAATGGTTAAAATGCCAAGAGAATAACAACAAAGATGAGGACAATAGTCCAAGTGCAAATAACGTAAATATAAAGCAATCTATTAAAAAGAGGTACATCTGCTACCAAAGGATTGAATCAAAAATTAATAGGAGAAAGGTTGTGCGTAGAAAAGTAGACAGTGTTAATTTCTGTTTTTCCTCAAATTATGAACACTAAAAATGGATACAGATACTGTTTCTCTAATATCATTTCATTTTTTTTGGCCTTCTTGTTTGTGTAGATCACTGTTATTTAAATTTTTATATTCATTTTCTAAAATATATGCCACTATTCACTGAAGATGTGACAGCTCTGGCAAAACAAAAAATATAACAAAAATATAATAATATATTTGAAACTATATTTTTTAAAAATGCAATGTTCATGCAAATATTTTGCATAGCATATTTTGCTTTTATATTATTATTTTACTTACCATTAATTTTCATTGATGTCAGTTTCATGTACAGGTCCCTGTAAATATAATAAAAAAAATAATGTATAAACATTTCACAATGTTTAGCCTTCATGACTGCAAAAAAGTAGTTTCAGAAGAAAGTTGAAACTGCTATTACATTACTATTACTACCAAGATTATAAAAATATATGAACCAAGTATAACAATATTTATTATTGATAATTTTATAAAGAAATAAAGTTGAAAAGAAATCTTTTTATTAAAAAATTTATAAAAATTTTCAAAATATGTGAACTACAATGCAACTACAATGCAATATTTATTTACCATTTAAAAATAACTACCTATAAAAACAAAAAATATCTATATAGAACGATAAAACTTAAATAAACATGATTTTTCTGGACATTATACATTTTAAATTGTTTTATATCTCAGATTAGTTCTTGATTTAATTTTTCAAGTTTTTTTTATAACTGTGATCTCAGATTCTTAATCAGTAAAAATTCCAAAATCCTGAAACAATTAGAAGATTACACCCCACCCCAACTCCTCCCTAATGCTTTTGAAAATTTTTTCAATTGCACATCACAGTAAAATAAAGTTTCAGGGATCTTTTTTTCTTCCTTTTTGCACAAATGACTGCAAGACCTCAAGTTATAGCCTATGTAATATCAACCTCAGGGTCATTCAATGTCACCACAGATCATCAAATAGCACTGCATAATATTTTTCACAAAATGAAGGAATTTCTAACAAGATAGACTAAGACATCACAATTTCTATGAAGTGTAAAATGATTTTGACCTCACCTATCTATCTATCTATCTATCTATCTATATATATATATATATATATATAGATAGATAGATAGATAGATAGATATTTAAAGTAGAGCAATATATTATTATGTTATTTTAGATATTAGAATGAAAACATGTTCAAATAGCTACTCAAAAGCTTTCATGTTTTGGTACTATGTTGTACCTCTTCAGGCAAATGGTAAGTGACTGGTGATTCTACACTGTTTCTGGTAAGTGACTGGTGGTTCTACACTGTTTCTGATCTTCATCAATGACATTTCTAATGTCATCAGTTCCCAAGTAGGCATTTATGTTAGTGACACTACCTTTTAATCCTGTCGCAATAGCAAATCCATCAGAGCTGACAAAGTTAACCTGGCTGCTGCTCTTGAAAAGGACCGCCAATCAGGAAATGGCTCAAAAATTTTAATGCCTCCAAAATGAAATTGCTTTCATTTAACCACCATAGAGAGACTTTCCTCTCCACCATCAGCCTGGCTGATGCTCAACTCCTGGAGAGCATCATACTGTGCCTTCTTGGACTCATGTTTTCAACTGACTTGAAGTGGAACAACTAAATTGAATCAATAGCTACATCTACTGCAAGAAAAGTTGGGTTACCAGAAGGTTTTGCTCATCAGAGTCCATCTTGCATATTTACAAATCTACCATTCATCCATACATTGAATACACGTTGCCATATCTGGTCTGGTGCTCTTGCTACTCATGTTAAGGTTCTTGACAAAATCCAAAGAAGGATCTGCAATGTAGTTGATCCTGACTTGGGATCTCGACTTCAGTCACTTTTTCACAGGCATGATGTGCCTTCCCTCTATCTTCTCTACAAATATTTTCATAGCTACTGCTTTGACAAGCTTTTTTCCCATGTGCTCAGACTACATGAGTTTAAATGTGCTACTAGATTGGCATCTCGGTCCCACCTTTTTACTGTTAAATTAGTTAGATGTAGCCACCACTTCTACTCCAACAGTTTCTTTTCTTGCACCTCCTGCCTGTGGAACTCCCTCCTATTTCCTTGCTTCCCTGATGACTACAATCTTCAAAAATTTAAATGCAACATCAACTGCTATCTTCTATCTTCTATCTTCTTGAAACCCCATTCAGCTTTTATACTTTCCTTGGTTCCTACTAGAGCCAGTCTTTTCTCTCACCTTCAATCTCTGTAACTCCCGCCCTTGTGGCATTCCTGTCTTGCTTAGGGTGAAATGATTAATATATATATATATATATATATATATATATATATATATAAAGTGTGTGTCACAGATTGTTGTTATATATATATATATATATATATATATATATATATATATATTATGAAATGGACAAAATCTGACAATTATTTTAAAAGAATATATAAACATAAAATGTCTTAAAAATATATATATATATATAATGTGTATGTTACAGATTGTTGTACAATATATAAATATCAATAATATATATATATATATATGTTTTGCATTTTATTATTACTTATATTTATGCACTTCAGTGATGTATATAAAATGTTTTCATGTATAACTCATTTTTGGGAATTCATTTTTTTCCTTCCATCCTGTTAAGGCATCAGCATATCACAGACATACTAATGCCTATAATGGAACTTGGAGAATGAAGCATATTTTCCCTCTCTTTCCAAACACCTCATTAACAGAATTAGTGAACCAAACAATTACATTCTTGGAGATAAATTTGTACATGAAGTATGCAGAAAAACCACGGAAGAAAAGTGATATTGACTTCCAAAGTTGCTCTGCCATCATTCTTTGTTTCATGCCATTTCTTAAATAATTCCATTCTTTCAAGATAATGAGAATTGATTAGCTATTAAAATGCTGTTCACCATTTCATTTCATTTCAATATTTTAATTTTTCAAATAATCATCAAAAACATCAAGAGTCCTCATGATAAAAAAAATGAAGAGGATTATTTAAAATTGTTTTTCTCTTTTGCAGAATTCATTCTTTTTATAAATTTTGATAAATCAGATTTCTCAATATTTAAAAAGAATAATAATATCAATAAACTGAGAAAATGTACAAGTTTTTTTTTTTAGAAGTAGCAAGTTTTATTATGCATTATTATTGTTGATTTCTAAACTACATTTATAACTAGTTTGATAAAGAATGTATGTGATAAAAATCTTTCACAAAAGATGGTTGTGGGTAATAAGATTTACCTAGGCCAATCATCAACCTGCAAAAAATATTAAAAGTACATTTGCTTACTTTAATGTTATTGGTACTATAGGAAGTATTATTAGTACTATAGGAAGTAGTGCAGAGTAAAAAGAGTCAGACATATTTCCCTCGCTTTAAGCTTCATAAAAATTTTGCTTTAAGAGAAAATTCTTTTCTACATGTACTGATAGTAAACAGAATTATATATATATATATATATATATATATATATATATATATATATATATATATATATATATATATATATATAAAGTGTGCTGAAAGATTTCTGGCCCAGCTCACTTCCCAAAATCAAGTCAAATAACCAAAACCTTCCTTATATTTATTGAATTTTCAGATTCAAAGGCTGTTTAAAAGCCTCCTTTGGATTTTTGAGAAATATTTTGGCTAACATATTGACTTGAAAAATCGACAACAATTAATTCTCACAAACTTTGAGCTTCATTATCAAAAAGATAAACAAAATTGGGATTAACTTAGAAATTTAAATTCATGAAACCTAAATGCTTCATCAAATTTAAACAGAAACCATATTCTGAATGATAAAATTGACTGGATTTTTTCATTTTTTACTGAAAAGAAAATCTGCTGTTAACTCAAGATTTTCTCAAAATCAAAACAAAACATGGTTAAAATAAATAAAAATAAAAACTGATTTTTATATATTTGTCTTCTTTGAAAAAATAAAGAATTTATATTATCATTATTTTAATTGTACATTTATATTCTTGTCCTGATCAGGAAAATTTTAAAAAAAGATTGGTTGTTCAAAAAAATATCTGATACTTGTTCAGATTTTGGGAATTGAATCAGGTTGAGAACTTTTCTGCACTTACTCATATATATATTTAAAAAGAATTAGTTTTATTACTTACTGGTGTATTATTTGTCATTCTACTTTGTTGCACCAGTCGGTCCACATCTTTTCTGAGATTTTTTCTTGATACAAACTGAAAATTCCTACGATAATTTTTTCTTGAATCAAAACCAACTGGCTGCAGTTTTCTGTCATATCTTGATTCCAATTTGCTAGTAGGTGATGTAACTTTCCTGTACATTGTCAGGCCAATGGTTGTATTTTCATGCTTCTGAGATTTCCTCAGAACACAACCAATGTTTCTCACTTTAATATTTTTCTCCACATTTCTTTCCTCTTGCATTTCTTTTGCAGTCTGTTTAATGTGCCTTTCAACTTTTTCTTCAAATTCTTTTTGCAGTTGAGGGATTTCATCTCTGTCTTCATAATCAGGTAGAGGTTCATATCTTAATTTACGAATAATCTCCCTGCAGCATTCTTTATTAAGATCTTTGTCTTTATGTTGCTTTTTCTTGAAAGGATTTCCAATGTTCGTGTAGGAAATAATGTGCAAGAAAGTTCCCCATCGGTGCATTAACATTCCAAAAAACTGGATAGTAAATATGGCTGTAAAGAATAAAAGAAATACAAAGCTAAACAATTCAACTTTCATGTTATTGATGTGTATTTCTGATGGTTTTGTATGTTGGAACATAAAATTAATGCACATCCATAAAAGATTAATCATAATCATTGCAAAACACATATTTGTGCGAAAAATCACCAAATCCTCCTGGGCTTTTTTCTCTTCTTCTTTGTCTCTATTAATTGGGTAGAGATATTTTTTAATGACATCATTCCAGAATTTCTTTTCTTCATCATTTAAATCAACAATGATACCTTTGCCTAAACCATTTGCCCAGGCTGGTATTAATGATTTTGATCTAGTGTCTTCTTTCACTGTCATGTCATCACTGTCATCATAATCATCAGCATCATCATTATCATCACCTTCAGCAGCATTCTTCTTTTGAGAGTCCTTCAGCTTCTTTTGATTTGTAGAATTTGCTGCAAAATTTTCAGCAACAATGTTTTTTTCAAATAAAAGTCTTGCAATATTATTGTTAATTATTTCAAGTGCTTTTAAAATTTCATTTTCTTTTTTCATTTGTGAAGCTTTGAACATTTCACTCAATTCTAATATTGCAGGAAATTGAAATAATTTGGAAAAAAATGATGCTTTTTTTTTCTCTTTTGCTTCAATTTCTTCCTCTTTTTTTGCCAACTCTATTTGCTTTTTAGTAAGTTTGGCTTTTACTTCTCTTGTTCCCCATGATACAACATGCATGTTACACAGTGAGTAAATTACCAGCAATAGGTAACCAGAAGGGATGCAGAGGAAGTAGAGGATTCCTGGCAGCAGACAACTCTTTTCCTGAGGATGCAGCAGAGCAGTAAAAAGAAATAGAATGACCATAGCCGTAATGATCACAACTCCAGGATTGAACACTGATGTCCGAACAGCCTGTACCACAACACCAACTAATACAGCCATCATAATGAAAGAATAAATAGCTGTAAGCAGACATGCTACATTTATTTGACTTTTTGATGATGCATAAAAGCACAAAAAAGTATAAAGGATATTTGGAATTAAGACCAAGACATATGAGATTGGAAGATCAAGATTAAACACAGATGTAAGTGCAGCTGCAATCATCATCATCACAGTAGCTGGACCTAAATAAGAAAACAAAAATTATAAAAATCAAATATGCTAGTAGAATTTTCTGGTTTCAAAAATAATGACTTTCATTATGCTTCTCAATCTTCAAAAAAATAATTTTTCACATATAAACACTGCAACTCCATTTAGAAATAATCTGATGGCTGAGTTGACACAATCTTCAATGCTGACTAGACATCTTTCTCTTTAAAATCTATCAAACCAAATGATTACAGATTTAAAGTGAATTACAAAATAACTTTTTAATACTATTAGCAGTGACTTAAATATTAAAATTGATTAATCTAGCTTTGGAGCTATCACTATAAGTTTATGCATAAAGAATATAATTTTTTTAAATTATAAAATAAATTCAATTTTTACAATATTTTGCAAGAATTATCCATGGGTGAATTACCAATTAAATGAACACATTTCTTATAAAGCAATTTTCTTTTATGTACATTTAGATGTTCTGAGGTTAATAAATGTAAAATTACCTATCATTGTTGACAGCATTAAAGCCAATTGGTATAAAATATAAAGTGTACTAATATTATTATTTTTCTGGACAGTTACTTTGTAACCTGCCAATAAATCCATTATGTTTGCAATGGTTGATGGCATCCACCTACGTCGTTGATTGAAAAATTCACTGAATGTGTCTGGTGCATAAGTATAAGCATCAGCAGCAGCACAATAATCAACTCTGTAGCCTTGTTGGAGCAGAAGTGTGCAGAGCCAACGGTCTTCCCCTGTGGGCAAGTAAAAACAAGTATAAAACATTTTGAAAGAAGATAATAAGATATTAAAGGAAAAGAAATGACAGTTTCATTATGTTGGAAAGATTTATAAGAAAATTGCTCTTTTTTACTACTTTAAGTATTTATTATGATTAAGAATTTTTTCTGGCAAAGAAATGATTTCATGAAATATGAAAGTATGCCACTTGAAATACAAATAGCAAATCCTTTTTAGGATTTGCTATTTGTACATGACAAAATATGTTGCTTTGAAAAAAGGGGATATTTTTGCCATTATGTTTTAACACAATTTTTTTGCTGATTGGGAAAAAAATCAATATCCAAAAGAAACTAATTTTTATTCTCTATGATCAAAATGTAATGACAACATTTTCAGCTATATTCTGTCTTGTATCTGAAAGACTTTGATAGAATTGCTAGTGATTGTGAGAAATTAACATACAAAGGTTTCTGCAAATTAATTTTTATATAAATTGAAAGCAACTTTGAAAATTTGACAATTTTCTCACCTAAGTGATTGAAAAATAATCATATTTGGGAACAAATGATGACTTTTTAAATGCTTTTTATGCAAAGACTCAGAAACAAATTCATAACAGAAATTTCTACTATGATGTATCAAAACTAACTGATGACACCCCCCACCCACCAAGAGATTTATCAAAGAATCCTGGCACATGAAGATTTTAGCCAATATATATTTATATATTTCATCAGATTATGAATTTTCATTGACATTAAAGTCTAATCTGAAAAGAGTGGCTTACAGTAAATGCTGCAATTGCATGTGATATTATAGAAATAATGATATTTTTCTGATGGCTGATTACCATCGATATAATGAATTTGCTGCTAAAAACTGTGCCAATATTATACAGATAACATCTGTTTTTGAAAGCTAAACTTCTTATAAAAGGAAAGCTTATAGTGTTAGTTTCTTCTGAGACCATTCGTCATATAGTAGACTTACCTTTGTATAGGTTAGTTGGTAATTAGTTGGAAAGTATTCACACCATAGGATTACTAATCTAAAAATGTCTTTACTCATGACTGAAAGCAATGAATGATTTCTTTCTTTATACAGTGTGGAGAGTGCAAGCTGAATTTTATGCACATTTCAATGTGCACTATTATATATATATATATATATATCTTTAATTCATACTCCTGTTAAGACACCAAAAAAGCTAACTTTATTGTTGTATTTCTTCCCTATATTGATAGTTGTATGGAATTCATATTACCAGAGTTAGCACATGCACTAGATGGAGCAAGAAAATTAAATTTTTTGGATTTGCTTAGTAGGGAAGAAGGCTACAAGTGTAGCAACTCCTGTGAGGATCAAGCTGACAGTCTGAATAGTTTGATAACCATTGCAGGTTTGTTTCTTGACAAACTGACATATTTCCCCAGAGATGGACATTTTTTTTTAAACCATTGATATGATCTCATATCTTGAAATTTTTATGAACATGATCACAACACTTAGATTAACTGTCTTTTACCTGTTATTAGTGAATAGATCTTTATTCTTCATAAAGATTTGAAACAAATTCCTTTATGTAAATGTAGATCACTTTTCAGCTTACAGCAGATAAACATTCGTGCTTAATTTAAATAATTCATAGAGTACGAACAAGACTTAGATTTTCAGATAACACTAATACTGCTCTATCATTATTTTTATTCTTTTTCAAACAATATACTATCATGGCACTTTTGGAATTCATGTATTCAGATATTTTAGGTATTAATGTTTTGCTTGAATTTTTTTAATTTTTTTTTATCTTAACTGTAATAGTTTTTGTTATTTGATGAATCATAGACTTAAGCATCATGTGTATAATCAGGACTTAGTTGAGAAATAAAAATAAATTTTATTTTAGCTTTCCATGCCAGAAATTGTAATTGATTGACAAAAATCAACTATAATTAGCCAAAAATAGATTTCATCTGAACTCTTGTAAAATAAAAATACATTCATTCAACAAGAATCTAGAAAAAATATTTTACAATCTTTCAGAGTATGAATATCTAATTCCCTCTACCTTGATCATACTGTAGATAATGTTTGGGTTCTGTTGGTAAGATTGTATATTTGCGCATGACATTTGTATCCATAAGAGCAGATCCTCTAAATAAACTAAAACATCCAGGACTGCAAAGGACACAACCAAGTACATGTTCAGTGGCTTTTTGTAGCCAGTGTCCCACAGCATATTCAAAGATCTGAAACCACACAATAGGTCCTGAAAACAGAAATATCACTTGTTTCATATATTTTTCAAATTAATGAATGAAAACATGCTTATTCAACATTCTCAATGGATATATTTGGAAGCAAATGAAATAAACAATGTACCTTAAATTTCTATGGTTAACTTAAATTTTCTGTTGTTAACTTTCATAAAGTTCTTAGATAAAATGTTTTTGTATATTCTTATATGATAGGTAATTATATATTAATAAACTGATTCAAACTTTTCAAACCCATTTCAAATTCAATTTTGCTAATGTTTTTCAAAAAGAAAAGCTTTATGAATATTTAAGAAATTGTATACTTTTTGTTTGATAATGTTGATTATTATTTGTTTAAATCTATTGAACATTTCTATTTTAACTTTATTTATTATTTCCTGTTTTTGGTGTAAAGTCTTAAGAAATCTATTGCAAACCATTTGAAAGACAATATGAAATATTTCAATAAATGATGTAAAGATATTTAGAAATGAAACATTTCAATCCAATAGTTAACTATTAAAAAAATTCATGATTATGAAAATATTTGCTTCATTTTTACTAACCTGAACCAATTGGATGAATACGACCACATGCAGCTCCAACTTTATTATTCTTCACCATTAGATCAATAAGAAGCTTGACAGCATCAGGGTTGAAATCAACGTCACCATCTAATGCCAATAAGAATGTATTCTCAGCCTGAAATTAAAACAGAATTAAGTCAGTTTAATGTTTCTGAAAGGGATTATTAATTAGAATGGCATTCATTTAAGAATTTTACCAAATATCAAAATAAATGACTTCAACATTTATTTACTTCATTTACAAAAGATAAGAATTCAAATGGTTTATCATGTTAATAAAACTCAGAATAATAATACAAGCAAAATGTAAGAAGATAAGAAGAAGAAATGGGCTTAGGTTACCAGTTTGTTGAAGAGGGAAGTTAGCATATGTTGAATGGAGAGAGAAGCATTTATACGATAAGTTGTAGTAGAGATCTCATTGTGGCTGCATGAGGATATAGTTTTTTTTAACAGGAGTGGTATGTTGCATGCTACATGTGATTTACTTGGGAGTTAGAAAACCTCCCTAGAGAGAAAACAAGACATCTTGTCACTACAGAATTCTGAAGATGAACATATATATATATATATACGACGGGCTCATGTTGGTGAGGAGATCTACTAGTTTTAAGATTGAAAAAATCAGAAAAATTATATTTAGTGAATTTAAGAAACTAAACTTAAAGATAACTAACTGTCTCTTCTAATTTGAAAAGGGTTAACTTCCTCGACATAACTCTAGACTTACCAGACAATACATACCAACCTTATAGAAAACCAAATGCTAACCCTTTATACATACACCTGAAGTCAAACCATCCTCCATCAATAATTAAACATATACCCTCATCAATAGAAAATAGAATTAGCCTTAACTCCGCAAACAGGGAAATATTCCAAAAACATAATAGCTTCTACAACACTGCCCTAAAAAATAGTGGTTATAAAAATGCTAACATTAACTACAGAGAAAATTGCACTGGACATGGGAAAAAAAAAACAGGAAAAGAAATATCATATGGTACACCCTCCGTTCAACCAAAGGGTTAGTATTAAACTAGGACAGAAATTCTTAGCTCTAATTAATAAACACTTCCCCACCAATAGTAAGCTTAGTAATATATTCAATAAGAACACCCTAAAATTGAGCTACAGCTGCTCTGATAATCTTGAACGCATAATAAAAAAACACAATAATAAGATCTTGAACAAACCCCCATGCAAAAACAGTATTAATAAAAACTCTACACTTAAATCAGATGATAATAGGGAAAAATTATGTAACTGTAGAAACCCAGAAGACTGCCCATTAGAAAATAAATGTTGTATTAACTCTGTGGTATACCAATGCACTATTTCATCCACAGAGAGCCCTAGCACTAATATGATATACATTGGGTCCACAAAGAATAATTTTAAAGACAGATGGAGATAGCATAAGTGCTCCTTTAATAATATAAACAAAAGAAACCAGACTTCACTATCAAAATATTTTTGGCACTTGAAGGAAACAAATAAGACACCAAAAGTTAAATGGAAAATTATTGACAAGGCTAGAATATGTAAAGCTTGGGATGACCCATGCCCTTTGTGCCTCCATGAAAAATTGCACATTATTAAACTTCTAAATAACAATAATCTATTAAATAATAGACACGAGTTAACGGTTTTTTTAGGCATCATCAGATTTTTGGTTTGAAAAAAAAAAAAAAAATTATATAACTTGTTTAACAAATAACCCAATCATCAGATTCATAGTAAAAATTATTAACTACAAACTTGCATACAACATAACACCCTTCATAATCCATAGCCCAAATTAGTAGTTTAAATACCTTACATAAAAGATAACCCTTTATGAAGTCGTCAAAAAACAAAAGCCATGAAAGTTTTTCTTTTTATATGCACAATTCCCTTTTATAATAAAATAAAATAAAATAAATAAATAAATCTCCATAGACAAGCCAACTTGACGAAAGCTTAATACATCTTCGTTTCTTTTTTAACACCCTCACCTTCCCCCGACTTGACACCTTGAAAGTATCCCTATACCGCCACTCATCATTAACACCCCACTCCGCCTACCCATTTTAGACAATTCGCCCTAGTTGTTACCATGGTGATTTTGATTTCAACTTTTAAAACAAGTAATTTTCAGATATACGTTATTCCAACAAAAATTCGCTTTGAAGATGGAACGGAGCCCTTTTAATTTCAACTCAATTTAATTTAAAGGATTATATTGAAGTTTTCGGCTCTTGTTTTGAAACATGAGACCTCTTATGTAGCGATTTGGAATCATATTTTTAAATAAATAATTATATTTATGCTCTACTTTTGTATCGAGCACTATTTTTTAAAAATAATAACAAAAATACTAAGGAACTTTGGACTATTTACCTAACCAGTTCCTTCCTATTTTCTATATATTTTCACATATATATATATATATATATATATATATATATATATATAAAGAGAGAGAGAGAGAGAGTTTGTATGTTTTCCCATGCAGTCTATCTATAGATCAGATTCGTCACGTGACCATAGAAGTGAAAGGCCTAGGTAGAACACCAAGTGAAGAAGAAGAAGAGGAATTGATATGAGGCACCAATACAAGAAGGAAGGAGTTAGGGCGGATTGATATTCTGCCACCACTACTCCCTGGAGGAGGGACATTTCCAAAATTGGACATGTGATTAATTTCCCAGAGTCAAACAAAGAACACCTTGTGGAAATTAGGTGAATCACCAAAATCTTGAATTACATCAGAACCCATGCCAGTTTTGAACAAAGGTCCTTATAAACAGAAGATTAAAGTGACCAGCATGAGAGAAGCTGCCAGATGCCAGGTAAGAGACAACCTCTTCATCGAATTCACATGACTTCCTGCCACCTCTGACTTTGTACTGTGTTTCAGAAGACTTGACATAATGAACAAAGTGGCATGAAATATTCAAAGAAGGAAAGTGTTGAATAACTTTGCATGATAAATATATTCTTGCATGAAGAACATATATCTGTACCTGAAGAAGTGATATTGTACCATCAGCTCTCTACAAGAAACAGTATATAAAATATTCTCTTTATTACAATTTATCCTATGATTTGTGGCTTCATTTTGTCCGAACCAGATCAACAATTCCTGTTGACAGTTTGATCCTTGCCAGCCTTGTGATATAAATCAAACACAACATGGGACAAAGCAAGGCTTTGATCAAAGTGACCCATTCAACAGTCAGCTGCGGGAGTAACATCAAATGGATTGGCTGGGTAAACATCTCAATGCCACATTAGTAAGTCCTAACAAATTGTAACCATGGATCTACATATAGATATATTCTATTATAACAAAACAAAAGAGGTTTTATTCTTTTACAGTTATGATCTTAGGTAATGTGTGTTTACTTCCGGATTTGAAATGAAGAAAAATTGTTTTCAGAATTTTAAAAACTACTTTATTTCTAATTCCTTTAATTTTTTAAAATTTTGTAGAAGAGAAAAAATGTAAGTGTGTTAATTTGTGATGAAAACTATACTTACAGTTTTGTTAACATCTTCATTAAGTAACTCAAAGACATCAGCTTGATATATGTCTGGGTTGCTCTTTATCTTCTTCAATAAGTCATGTTCACACATCTTTGTAAGACGGTGTCCAAGTAAGTAGTACATGTACATCACCTGAATTGGAAAGAAGTACATTTATGCTTAATTTCTGGGAAAAAGTGTTCATGCCTTCAAAAGTTCATGTATAATAAAAAAAAAAATTGAAATTTTGGCTTATGTACAGGTGTATATTGTTGTGGTTTGAGTCATTTAAAAAAGAAAAGAAAAGGAAATTTGTTTTGCTCAGTTCGGACAAAAGAAGAACAGTTTTTTGATAGTAAAATATTTATTATTTCAATTTATTCATTAAGATGTAAGTATTTTTAATGGACTATATATTATCTTCTTAAATTTGTCTATATTTTTATCTATTTATTTTTTTATTTCTGGAAATTTAGAAAGTTCAGATGTTATTTATATTGTCTTAGTTGATACATAAATAGTATTACATACTCCATCCTGATTTAAATTTGTTATCATTTGTGATGTAAGAAAGGATATGTTTTTTAGGGAAAAATTAACTTCTTTAAGAATCTTTTTTTTTTTTTGTTTTGAACAATGCTTTGAAACATTTATGCACAACTTGCCTGAGACCATCTTTTTTTGTGACGAATCTTGTTTTTATCTTTCAGATGCACATATAGTAATACATCACTCTGTAGAACCCATAAAAGTTGACCTCCATAAGGAGTGATGATTTTTGCTGGAGGCTCTAATTTCACAGGTAATTTCATAACAGAACTAATTTATTAGAATTTGAAGAAGCATGAAAAAGAAAAAGCAAAATACAAAAATTCAGAATAGTCTTATTAATTAATTAATAATATTTTAATAACTGCAAAATAGGTTTCCAGAATAAAAATGATTAATTTTCAAATCAATACAATTTTAGTGGAGTTTGAAAAGAGTTGATTAAAATTAATTTCCTCAGATATTTGTTATTCATGGTTCATGAGATATTGCAATAGAAGGTTAATTTGCAAGCCCAATTTATGAAAGTTTTGCCTGGTTAGGTTTGAAGAAAAGTTTTCTCCCTAATCTGAGTTCATATTTAGAAAATCCACTATACAAGACAATGTGTATTTGTAAAACTAGTTTGTTGAGAACATCTTTTTCATTAAATGATTCTCATATAACATGTCAAAATATTACTTTTCAGCCACCAATCACTATGCCTCTATCAGAAAAATAGGAAAATATAATCAGTAATTATTTTCCCTTATCATCAACATGTGTGTGCATGTGTGTGTGTTGGTGTTGTATGTGTATTTTTATTGTATTTTTGTTGTGTGTGAACAAAACATTTCTTTTTTGAATATAGGATATGGAAAAATTGTCCACATGAGTAAGAATCCTTCTTTTCTTATGCACTTAATAATCTCATTTATTTTTTGTTTTTTTAGTATTGGAATAAAATTCTGTTTTTAATTTTTTTTAGAAACATCTATTATGTTTGTTTTTTTGATAAATATTTTGAATATCAAAGTTGGTATGGTTTCATGTTGATTCATGTGTGTCCTTATAAAGCTGCAATCTGACATAATTATTCATGAATTTGTTTTCATCGGGAACTTATGAGTTAATAAATAATGTTGATCTTGTATAGTTTGAATTTCACTGGAGAGTTGTTGTTACTGATAATGAGGTTGACTGTTTTAAATGCTTTATAATAATTTGATCTTCATTGTTTGATTGGAGTAATGCAATTTTAAAGCAAATTAATCTTTGTTGTAATTATCATAGTTTAGATAAAAATGTTAGAAAACCAATGCATAAATAATTATATCAGACATAGTAAAGTTTTGCATTGAGAAAAACTATAAAGACTAAAGCAAAATAGTCACTTCCATATGGAAGGAAGTAGATAAAATGTTCTGTTATGTTCTGTTAGATAAAATGTTCTGAGATGCAAATGTGATAGGAAATCTTTAAGAGAGAAACTGACTTTCTGTTCATGTTCTCTCTTAAATGTGACGCATAGATTATTGAAAAGTTGATAGTGCTTGTATAAAATAATGTTCTCCCTTTTTTTGTCTTGTGTTCTTTGAATATCTACATTGTATTTAGAAAAAACACAAGGATTAAACTTGCAGTATTCAAGCCTAAATATAGACTACCGTGGCCAATCAGTTCTGGTTACATGATTCCTTTATAAGATGTTACACTTAACATTTCTAGCTTTTGCCTAATTTAATAAAAACAGAATTTGAGTATTTCTTTCTTTCTTGCTTTGTTTGATTACATCTTATCATTTTTTACTGTTTGGCATTAGGTAACCACTGCTTCTGCTCAGTTGTCTTGCAACACCATAAAGATTTAGAGTGTTATGTCTACCAGAATATTATTTATAAAAGAATGGATGTTCTAGTCACTAATGTCATTTAAAAGTAAAATAATTAAATTAGCAAAGGTTACATTTCATTTTTATCTCATGAAAAGATTTGCAATATTCACTTACCTTGCTGCTTCATCAATCTTTGACACAAATGTTTGCACAAATTTATTGACAACAACTTCCTCATCATCATTCAATGTCATAGAATCATCAAAAAATATATGAGCTGTTAATAAAATAGTACACCAAGACTCATTAAACCTACCACCAAAAGACACAGTAGTAAACTACAAGAATTAATTTCTATAATATACTAATAACATTTAAAACTTTTTAGCAAGAGCAGCATTTAAAATTAACAACATACAGAAATTAAAAATGTAATACTAAAAAAAGATCAAAAAGAAAAATGCATACGTGTTGCTTATCATATTTCATGAGTGTCACTTTAAAGTCTATTGACTCTTAATTACTTTGATGAGAGTAACTTTAAAGTCCATTGATTCTTATTGACTTTAATGTGTCATTTTAAAGTCTATTGACTTTAATGAGGGTCAGTTTAAAGTCTGTTGACACTTCTTGATTTTCACGAGTGTCAGTTTAAAGTCTATTGATTCCTATTGACTTTATGAGCATCAGTTTAAAGTCTATTGATTCTTATTGGCTTTGATGAGTGTCAGTTTAAAGTCTTTTGATTCCTATTAACTTAATTGACTATCAGTTTAAAGTCTAATGATTCTTAATGAATTTGACATGTGTCAGTTGAAAGTTTTTCATTCCTATTGATTTTGATGAGTTTCAGTTTAAAGTCTATTGAATCTTATTGACTTTGATCAGTGTCAGTTGACAATCTATTGATTCCTATTAACATTGATGTGTGTCTGTTTAAAGTCTGTTGAACCTTATTAATTTGATGAGTGACAGTTTAAAGTCTATTGATTCTTAATCACTTTGATGATCGTCAGTTCACAGTTTATTGATTCTTATTGAATTTGGTGAATGTCAGTGTAAAGTTTATTGATTCTTATTGATTTTGATAAGTGGCAGTATAAAGTCTATTAATTCTTATTTGTTTGGTGAGTGTCAGTTTAAAATTCTTTTGATTCTTGTTGTCTTTTATGAGTGTCTGTTTAAAGTCTATTGAATTCAAAGATTGTAAAAGTCCCCTGACTTTGATGTTTAAAGTCTATTGATTCTTATTGAATTTGATGAGTGTCAGTTTAAAGTCTATAAATTCTTATTGTTTGATGAGGGTCAGTTTAAAGTCTATAGATTCTAATTGATTTTGATGATTATCTGTTTAAAGTCGACTGATTACAATTCATTTTGATGAGTGTCATTTTAAATTCTATTGATTCTTATTGACTTTGATGAATTTCAGTTTAATGTCTATTGATTCTTACTGAGTTTGATGAGTGTCAGTTGATACTTATTGACTTTGACAATTATCAGTTTAAATTCGACTGATTCCAATTCATTTTGATGAGCATCAGTTTAAAATCTGTTGATATTTATTGACTTTGATGATTGTCTGTCTCAAGCCTATTGATTCTTATTATTTGATGAGTGTCATTAATGTTTATTGATTCTTATTGATTTCATGAGAGTCAGTTTAAAGTCTGTTGATTCTTATTGATTTTAATGATTTTAAGTTCAAAATTCTTTTGATTCTTGTTGTCTACTTAAAGACTGTTGATCCTTATTGATTTGATGAGTGACATTTTAAAGTCTATTGATTTTTAATCACTTTGATGATCGTCAGTTAAGAGTTTATTGATTCTTATTGACTTTGATGATGGTCAGTTTAAAGTCTATTGACACTTCTTGAATTTGATGAGGGTCATATTAAAATCTTTTGATTCTTATTCATTTTGATGAGTGTAAGTTTAAAGTCTATTGACTCTTAATGACTTTAATAAGTGTCAGCATAAAGTCTTGATTCCTATTAACTTTGATGACTATCAGTTTAAAGTCTATTGACTCTTAATGACTTTAATAAGTGTCAGCATAAAGTCTTGATTCCTATTAACTTTGATGACTATCAGTTTAAAGTCTATTGACTCTTAATGACTTTAATAAGTGTCAGCATAAAGTCTTGATTCCTATTAACTTTGATGACTATCAGTTTAAAGTCTATTGACTCTTAATGACTTTAATAAGTGTCAGCATAAAGTCTTGATTCCTATTAACTTTGATGACTATCAGTTTAAAGTCTATTGACTCTTAATGACTTTAATAAGTCTATTGTCAGCATAAAGTCTTGATTCCTATTAACTTTGATGACTATCAGTTTAAAGTCTATTGACTCTTAATGACTTTAATAAGTGTCAGCATAAAGTCTTGATTCCTATTAACTTTGATGACTATCAGTTTAAAGTCTATTGACTCTTAATGACTTTAATAAGTGTCAGCATAAAGTCTTGATTCCTATTAACTTTGATGACTATCAGTTTAAAAAGTCTTATTGACTTTAATAAGTTAATGATTCCTATTAACTTTGATGACTATCAGTTTAATCTTAATGACTTTGTCAGTCTTGCATAAAGTCTTGATTCCTATTAACTTTGATGACTACAGTTTAAAGTCTATGACTCTAATGACTTTAAAGTCAGCATAAAGTCTTGATTCCTATTAACTTTGATGACTTTCAGTTTAAAGTCTATTGACTCTTAATGACTTTAATAAGTGTCATAAAGTCTTGATTCCTATTAACTTTGATGACTATCAGTTTAAAGTCTATTGACTCTTAATGACTTTAATAAGTGTCAGCATAAAGATTCCTCTTTAAATTATTGACTCTTAATGACTTTAATAAGTGTCAGCATAAAGTCTTAATTCCTTTAACTTTGACTATCAGTTTAAAGTCTATTGACTCTTAATGACTTTAATAAGTGTCAGCATAAAGTCTTGATTCCTATTAACTTTGATGACTATCAGTTTAAAGTCTATTGACTCTTAATGACTTTAATAAGTGTCAGCATAAAAGTCTTGATTCCTATTAACTTTGATGACTATCAGTTTAAAGTCTATTGACTCTTAATGACTTTAATAAGTGTCAGCATAAAAGTCTTGATTCCTATTAACTTTGATGACTATCAGTTTAAAGTCTATTGACTCTTAATGACTTTAATAAGTGTCAGCATAAAGTCTTGATTCCTTTGATGACTATCAGTTTAAAGTCTATTGACTTTAATGACTTTTATCAGTTTAAAGTCTTGATTCTATTAACTTTGATGACTATCAGTTTAAAGTCTATTGACTCTTAATGACTTTAATAAGTGTCAGCATAAAGTCTTGATTCCTATTAACTTTGATGACTATCAGTTTAAAGTCTATTGACTTTTAATGACTTTAATAAGTGTCAGCATAAAGTCTTGATTCCTATTAACTTTGATGACTATCATTGTTTAAAGTCTAAATTGACTAACTTTGATGAATCAGTTTAAAGTCTATTGACTCTTAACTTTAATAAGTGTCAGCATAAAAGTCTTGATTCCTATTAACTTTGATGACTATCAGTTTAAATTGTCTTAATGACTTTAATAAGTGTCAGCATAAAGTCTTGATTCCTATAACTTTGAACTAAGTTTAAAGTCATTGACTCTTAATAAAGTCTTGATTCTTGATTCCTATTAACTTTGATGACTATCAGTTTAAAGTCTATTGACTCTTAATGACTTTAATAAGTGTCAGCATAAAGTCTTGATTCCTATTAACTTTGATGACTATCAGTTTAAAAGTCTATTGACTTGATTCCTATTAACTTTGATAATCAGTTTGACTTAATGACTTTAATAAGTGTCAGCATAAAGTCTTGATTCCTATTAACTTTGATGACTATCAGTTTAAAGTCTATTGACTCTTAATGACTTTAATAAGTGTCAATAAAGTCAGCATAAAGTCTTGATTCCTATTAACTCTTTGATGACTATCAGTTTAAAGTCTTGATTCCTATTAACTTTGATTCAGTTTAATGACTCTTAATTTTTTTAATAAGTGTCAGCATAAAGTCTTGATTCCTATTAACTTTGATGACTATCAGTTTAAAGTCTATTGATTCTTAATGACTTTAATAAGTGTCAGCATAAAGTCTTGATTCCTATTAACTTTGATGACTATCAGTTTAAAGTCTATTGACTCTTAATGACTTTAATAAGTGTCAGCATAAAGTCTTGATTCCTATTAACTTTGATGACTATCAGTTTAAAGTCTATTGACTTCTTAATGACTTTTTAAGTTTTCTTAATGACTTTTAAGTAAAGTAAAGTCTTGATTCTTATTAGCTTTGATTGACTATCAGTTTAAAGTCTATTGACTCTTAATGACTTTAATAAGTGTCAGCATAAAGTCTTGATTCCTATTAACTTTGATGACTATCAGTTTAAAGTCTATTGATTCTTAATGACTTTAATAAGTATCAGCATAAAGTCTTGATTCCTATTATGACTAAGTTTAAAGTCTATTGACTCATAAAGTCATAAAGTCTTGATTCCTATTAATTTTGATGACTATCAGTTTAAAGTCTATTGACTCTTAATGACTTTAATTTCAGCATAAAGTCTTGATTCCTATTAACTTTGATGACTATCAGTTTAAAAAGACTCTTAATGACTTTAATTGATTCCTATTACTTTGATGACTATCAGTTTAAAGTTTGATGACTTTAATAAGTGTCAGCATAAAAGTGATTCCTATTAACTTTGATGACTAAAGTCTATTGACTCTTAATGACTTTAATAAGTGTCAGCATAAAGTCTTGATTCCTATTAACTTTGATGACTATCAGTTTAAAGTCTATTGACTCTTAATGACTTTAATAAGTGTCAGCATAAAGTCTTGATTCCTAAGTCTTTGATGACTATCAGTTTAAAGTCTATTAACTTTAATGACTTTTTAATCATAAAAGTTTAAAGTCTAATATTGACTAAAGTCTGACTTTAATAAGTGTCAGCATAATGACTATCAGTTTAAAGTCTATTGACTCTTTACTTTAATAAGTGTCAGCATAAAGTCTTGATTCCTATTAACTTTGATGACTATCAGTTTAAAGTCTATTTGATTCCAGCATAAAGTCTTGATTCCTATTAACTTTGATGACTATCAGTTTAAAGTCTATTGACTCTTAATGACTTTAATAAGTGTCAGCATAAAGTCTTGATTCCTATTAACTTTGATGACTATCAGTTTAAAGTCTATTGACTTTTAATGACTTTAATAAGTGTCAGC